CTCCGCCCCTGGCTTCGTTAGGCTATCATAAAAGTTGCTGTAGTTGAAAATTCATCTGTCTCTCAGGTGACCAGCTCTTTGGACTTAGTCAGATGACAGATACCATCAGCACATGTGTCCATATCACCGCATCAACCAGGATCTGAAGCTTTTCCAGTTTAATAGAAACTGAGCTTGGACTTGACCCAGGGCCACATCCATACCACAGAACAGATAGATGGGGGTTGGAGAGTGGGGTGGTGGTTGGGTTACATTCAGAAAGGATTCTCCCAAGGATCCTTTGGGTAAAGCTTCCTCAGGCTGCTTAAATGTCATCTTACAAATTTAAGGGAGAAAATAGAGGTAAAGAAGTAGTGATTGCTAATTGAAACACAATCAGAAATGAAGAAAAAAAAAATCTTCGAAATAACCTGTTATCAAGGGGAAACTAATTTGGTTTAATACAAAGTGAATTTACATACACAGCTATTAGCCAAACCTTAACTGCTGCATAAAGCAAGGGGAACAGTGACATAGGTGATTGATGAAGATTCTATCTGTCCTGGCTTGGGTTTTCTTGCTTTGTTCAGTGACCTGCTGCTTCATCCCTAGATACAGTAGGTGTGGCCACTGGTGACTTGGGGAACAAGTGAGAGTATTAGATGGGTAAGGACACAATTCTTCACCTCTCTGAGAAAAACAATTCACATATGTGGCCAAGGCATCATCTTTAGGTGGATATTGACCCCGTCCACCCCTTTCAATAGTGTTGAACCTTGGGCTTAAATCAAATTACAGTATGTTGTGTTTACTACTTCTGTGTTCTTGGAATTACTGTGATTTAATGCTTCCATTGGTCTGCAATCTCCTATGGTTCTTCACTGGCACAGGGATCAAATCCCCATTATGCCTCCTCACCCTGTGTGATCCTTGTTCGTGCTTCCCCATAAATGTTCTAAGGGGCACCCGCTGAGCCTGCTGGAGACTTTCCGTTCATTTTTTCAACATCTTAAAGGTACTTCTTGGTCAGTCAAAATCTGTCTCTCATTTTGTTGTATGACCAGGCCTGTATGTCCAAAGTAACCCCTTTATGTCACTTCTCCACAAATGATTTTTGTGATGTAAGGTCTAAATATATAAATATTAAAAATGTATGCTCAGATTTACTTGGAGGAACTGTCAGTCTCATGAGGGCAGATAATAGCCTGCTCTCAAATATTCACAGTGATGGAAAAGAAAGAAAGTGTAGAAAATCCTCAAAGCTCTTTTAATTGACTTTGGAATATGTTTGAAATTTATTTTGGAGAATGAATGATGCCATTCCACTAATGTCCTCTAGACAAAAGATGAAGCTCAGACCTCAGGGACCTAGAAGATTTCATTTCCCTCATCTGGTACTTGATGAAGAAAGCAGACTTTCTTAGACCAATGCAAAACTCCTCACATGAGTAGGGAAGGGAGTCTTTCAGTTTCCTCTCTTTTTCTCATTCAGAGTCAATGGAGTCTGTCAAGATGTGAGCAAAGGTGTGTGATTTAGCAAATGAGGTGCTTTCCTTAGTGAGCTTAGAAGCTCAACAAGGCATGTGTTTGGAGGACAGGAGCTGTGACTGAGTTTGAAAATTTGTTCTGAAAAATAACACACATTTCACAATTACAAAGCACTTTTCCTCATGACCCTGTGAGGCAGGGAGACTTCACACTGTCCTAGAGAATGAGCTGGTTCAGACTGAATCTCTCAATGCATCAAACTTTATTGAAGCTGCAGAAAATATGCCCTTCAGGAGCCTTCTCCGGTGCCCCCTGAGGTTCTCAGGACACTCTTGTGAAGGAAAAACTGGCACATCCCAGCAGGCTGGAGGACCTTGGAGTAAGGCTCTGGCAATGTGTCTGTCCTTGGACCAGCCTGACCGAGGTCACGTGCTCTTCACCAAGAGGCTCACCACAAGCCAATGCTTGCCCCCCCCCCCCATGTAGCAACTTGTGAAGTAGTAGATAGCAGAGGAAGGGGGATTCGTGAGCTGTGTTGGGAAAGGATTGGACAAAATCATGAATCTTTCAAATAGGAAAAAATAGAATGCATCAGAGCAGGAAAGTCTACTGAGTCTAGTTTTCAGTGCTCCTTTGTCTGGGAGACGGTCCAAGACTGTGCCTCGTTTATACTGTGGGTCCTGTTTAAGCCAGGAGAGCAATCTGTCCCATGCCCTGAGTATTCTTGGAGAGTGACTAGAGAACTCCCTGTTAGGAATGGAAATGTGAAAGGGTGACATTTTGGTTGCCTTTTGTATATTTCTATAGAACTGTGGATCTGGGAGGGATCTTGGAATATGGAATGTTAGAGCAGCGGCACTTCCTTCTAGATCACCTTGTTAGAGATCACTCCATCATTTTGCTCATGAGGAAATGACCTGTGGGAGCAAGGAAGGTCAGGATCTTAACTGCTAATTGGTGGCGGAGCCAAGACTGTGACACAGGCCTTGTGACTCCCAGATATGAGCCCATGTTCTTTTTAGAGCTTCTCTAAGAAGTCTGGTGCTTTTCTCATCATTCTGTTATACAGGGTTGTAGGAGAGGGTTTTTTTTTTAATCTTTTCACATTTTTTACCTTTTTTTTCCTCCTGGAACTGGTGTCTCTGTGTGTGTGTGTGTGTGTGTGTGTGTGTGTGTGTGTGTGTGTGTGTGTGTGTGTGTGTGTGTGTGTGGTTTTTTAAGGCAGTTGGGGTTAAGTGACTTGCCCAGAGTCACACAGCTAGTAAGTGTCAAGTGTTTGGTCTAAGGCCGGATTTAAACTCAGGTTCTGACTTCAGAACAGGTGCTCTATCTACTGCACCACGTAGCTGCCCTGACCAGGTCCTGTTGATTGGTTATTCTTTGAACTTGGTTTTGCTTTCTTTCCTTTTGAAAAAATAGGTTAATATGAACCTTTTCCTTCCCCCTTCCCCTTCTCCTTCACCTAAATCTGACAGGAGCAGATTTTACCGAGTTCAGGACTTGATTCTCCCCTCCTCTGGATTTCTCTTTGGGAACAGAAGGCAGAGAGGCCTAGGTGTTTTATTGAAGAATAGAGTGTAAGACAATCCACTGGGTTAATAATTATAGCTTTGAGGGTATCAGATGACCTTTACATCCGTTATCATTTCTTGCCTGGGACATGCATAGTGGATGACCTCAATAAGTCTTTTCTCAAGGCCTCAGTTTCTTCATGTGTAAAATGAGACCATTAGATTAGACAGTCTCTAAGGTCTTTCTCAGCTTTGACATATCCGACCCATGCTTTCCTGGTAATTCCTGGCTGTGGCATTACATGTCTTTCATATTTATGAACTGCCAGGTTAAGGAGAGTAGTGTTATAGCATTAGATAATTGGGGGATGGCGGTATGTGTGTATGGAATGAGTCACAAAGAGAAGGGATAGGAGTAGGCAGCTTTAATCTCAGGACTAGACTTTCCATCCCTTTTTTTTTTTGCTTTTAGTTGAATCGTTGTGGCTCTGATTAATATTCTGCCCAACTTCCTCAGACTTATGAAAATGTCACCAAGCGCATAGCTTCAGAGTCTCCTGAGGCATTGATAGTTTTATAGGCCAGTCTTTTTATTTCCATTTTGAGCTGCTGGCTAAATTCAGGTGAGATAAACCCTCTAAATTGTGCTCCCTTCACTGCTAATGGTGGCTGTAATGAGGTAGAGGAAGATGGTCTTGGCCTTCTGACCCCAGGATCAGTTGAGCTACCTGACTCCATGATCCAGAATTGCCAAAACTAGGGCAGACAACTTTGTGTACCAGTGTTTCTATCTACTTTCATTCCCTTTCAAGAAAATAGTAGACTAGGGAGCTTTGGACTAATAGTCAAGCACTGTAGGTTCTAGGCTTGGCTTTGCCACCAGTTTGCCTTGGGAGAAGTGAATCACTAGCCCTCAAAGAGCCCCCAAAGAGCCTATGCTTTTTTCTGCTTCTGTAAAATGAGGGCTTTGAACTAGATGAGCTCCAAAGTCCCTGGTTCCAGCTTTAAATCCTGCATGTTCCGAATTTCTTCCAGTGCGTTTCCTTTGCTCTCTTCGTGGTCCCCAAACTTCTGCTTCCTCTGAGCGTGAACCTAGTTGGTAGTTTGTCAGTAAGTGAATGTATGAGTTCAGGTCAGTAAGGAATGAAATAATGTTTCTTAGGATCTTCATTAGCTGTTAGGAAAATGGGTGTAGCTCTCCCAGCTGACCTTGCCCTTGAATACAGTGTTAAACTGAAGATTCTTCCTTTAAAATCATAAGGACTTCTCTCTAGATCAATGTAAGAATGCAGTGATCCAGATTTCTCGATTGACAGTTCCACATTGTGTATTTGTTTCTTCCCTTTTCTCTGTATCCAAGCCAAGGTTTTAGAGGCCTCATGCTGCTATGGAAAGAGAAGTGAATGAGGAATTAGGAAACCTGGGTGCCAGCCCTAGTATTGCCTCTGAAGAGATGTCTCACTGGGCGAGTCTGTTCTCCCAGGCTCTCAGTTTCCTACAAATGGGGCTGAGTACCTTCTGGCTCTGATTGTCAGTTCAGCTCGGCAGAGTAGAGACCTGGCTTCTCATCCTGCCTAATGCACTTAGTTAGCTTCATGTGACCATAGGTGGGTCACTTATCCTCTCTATAAAGTGGGGATGATACTGGCATACCTGCTTCATGGGGTAATCATGAGGAAAATAACTTTGTAAACCTCAGACATTCACTTAAGTCATAATTGCCTCATTCATTCACTCACTCACTCTCCCTCCCTTCCTCCTGCTTTCCTTCCTTCCTCCTCCCTTCCTCTTTCTTTCTTTCTCTCTTTCTTTCTCTCTTTCTCTCTTTCTTTCTTTCTTTCTCTTTCTTTCTTTCTTTCTTTCTTTCTTTCTTTCTTTCTTTCTTTCTTTCTTTCTTTCTTTCTTTCTTTCTTTTTCTTTCATTCTCTCTCTGTCTTTCTGTTTCATTTTCTTCTTTCTCTGTCTTTCTTTCTCTCTGTCTTTCCTTCCTTCTCTTATTCATTCATTCATCTATTCATTTTTTCATTTATTTGCAAATAAGAATACATACATCTAGTAAGTGGCTGGACCAAGTCTTGACCTTGGGTCTCCTGAGTCCAAGGCCTGTGTGCTTCCCTCTGCCCTAACCTGCATCCCATGAACAATTCTGAGAGCTGACAGTATGCCTGCCTACCCAGTTCTGCCCTTCCCTGTTTGTTGTGTCTGACCCTCAAGATTCCCAAGACAGACGCTGCAATGGGCAACTATTTGGCCAGCGATTTGGAAAAAGCCTTCTGAAGAAGAGCACACCAGGGGGAAAGAAGGGAGAGCTCGATTTTAGCCTTACTTAAGCCTGCTTGGCCTCTCAGCTGCTACATGGACGAGAGAAAGAAACGGCACTTACAGATGTTCCTGGCCAAGTTTCCACACGTGCCTATGATGGTCTGGGAAAGTTTAACATCAAGGTAAGTGAAAGGTTTGTTTGAAGGGAAGAATCTGTCAGAATTTTAGAATTATTTGGTTCCCTCTATGTGGGCAGCTTCTGTATTTTCAGCTGCAGCAACTGTCATCTTAGAAAAACTCTTATTAATAGCTGGGAGTGTTGAACACAGTTTTTAATGTCATGGAACATGCAGGCCTCCCTTGTTTCTGCTCACACTGAGTCTTGTTCCTTAGATGCAGCAGGTTAAATCTATCCTTCATTTTTCCCATTTTGTCCCCCAAAGAATTATCTTGAAGGGAATTTGGTGGGACACTGGAGTGCCTTTTAAAAATTTAACAAAAGGATGAATTTGAAGAACTGATTACTGTCTCCTTCAATACAGATCTCTTTGTGACTTGATAAACCTTCCTTGTGGCCATTCTGGTGATGATGCTGTCCAAACCTAGCTTGTAGCTTGGCCCTCAGAAGACAAGTGTGCATAGAGTTGGTAACTCTGGGCCTATACTTGAAACTTCTAGCCTGATGGGACCTTTGGGGTCTGGGGCTCTTTTGGCCTAGCCCCCAAGAAGCAAAGATCGCTTCCTCCCCATAATATGGAGTCCCCCTCCAATGCCTATGGTTATGTGTTTTGAAACCTATTCTCTATTGACATGTAGCTAAATTAGCTCTTAGTGGTCATTGCTCTATGCTCCCTTGAATAAAATTTAGGCAGAATGCTAATTTATGAGTTCCATTAAAGCATCTAGTTTACTCCAGTGAACCAACAGCCTTCAAGAATCCTAGTTGACTGAGAGAGATAAAGCAAATTCCATTTGAGAAATCCTAGAGATGTGTGCGTGTGTGTGTGTGTGTGTATGTGTATGTTTGGAAGACACCCCCTCCCCAACTATTCTGCCTATGCAGTGAAGGTAGCCCCTTGGCATGATACTTTGTGTATAGTAACTATATTTTGACTACCTAGAGAATGTTAAATTTTCCCAATAAAATTTGATGTGCTTTTCAGAAAAAACAAATCCCAAACCTCCAGACCCAATTATACAACTTGTAAATACAGGCTTCAGGAAGCAGGGAGGATGAATGTAGTCACTAAGGAATCACCCCTTTCCAAATAACGTGGCCCTCCTCTCTCTTTCCCACTCCAGAATTCATTTCTAAACATTGTTATTTGTAGATAGAAGCCAACTTGCCTCTTTATGACAAATTTGTAATCTAACAGTGTTTGTCTTTAAGTATCAATAAATTGCACACATCACGCAGTCCTAAGGACTTTCCGTGTCCTCATCTGTAAACCAAGGGAATCCTCCTGAATGAGCTCTCAGATGCTGATCTGCCCTGACATTCTGTGTTTTAACCTCTCTGAGTGAGTGCATTAACACAGGAGTCTGTCTGCTTTCATCCTCTGCAGCCTGCGTTAAGTAAGTTTCTTTGGCCTTGCTTGTGTTTGCCAGTGCTTTCTCCTCGACTATACTCGGCATTCCCCTGATGATGGTGATGATGATGATGATGGTGATAAAAGTACTATGAATATAGCACCTCTTACGGACCAGGCACTGTGTGAAGCACTTAAATATTATCTCATTTGATCCTTAACAATGCCCCTGATAGGGGAAGTAGGTTCTGCTATTATCCCCATTTTACAGTGGAGAAAACTGAGGCAGACAGCAGTTAAATGATGTGTTCAGAGTCATGTAGCTAGTAAGTGCCTAGGGCTAGATTTGAACTTGGGTTTTGCTAGCTTTAGGCCCCGGGTTCTATGCCCTGGTACCCCCCAGCTACCATACAGAAAAAGAAAGGTAGACTCCGTCAACCTCCCTGCAGCTGCCGTGACTGATGCCCTTGCAGGTTATGGGGTTGAGCTGATGAAGCCACAAATAACAACCAGCAATAGTAGCTGAGATGTCTGTAGTTCTTGACACGTGGGTGGAAGCGTAACTTCACGTCTTGTGTCTTGTTTGGTCCTCACAGCAGCTCTGAGGGAGGCTGGGGAGCTGTTATCCCCACTTTACAGATGAGGAAACTGCAGCCCAAAGACTTAAAATGACGCTCACTGAGAACCCCAGGGACTCCTGGGCAAACAAGGCAGAGTCTTAGTTATCTGTACCCAGGTAGGTGACGGCTCCTGTCCTCGGCGCAGCACGCTTACGCCTTGTGCTTCTCAGGGACCTGCTTTGCGCCACCTCTTTTGTAAGTTGGAATTTTGTCTTTTAATAAACGGGTTTCTAACACGAGTACTTTTTGTCTTATTTCCCATCAGACCTTCTGCCACCCTCTCACAACCTTGTCATGCCCCTCAGAGTCACTTGTTCTGCTGAGGCATCTGTTGCACACTTTTGTGCCTAGCATAGTGTTAGGCTCCATGGAGGAGACATGAGGACCATAGACAGAGACACTTCCCCCTCATTGGAAATTAGGGAACCAGTCCCACCCAGGAATAACAGCCTTGCTAAATTTCAAAAAATGAAATGATTGAAAGGGTGTGCCAAGGTAATTTACAGATAAAGAAATTCAGGCTTAGGTTGTGACGTAACTCCTAAGACTTTCCCAGGAGCGCCTATCACCTGTCCAGATAGGTCAGGTACTCGATTAGAGAACTGGTTTATGAGGTCACAGATTTCTAACAGATCATCCAGGCCAGGAGCTCTTAATCTGAGATCTGTGAACTTTTTTATTAATATTTTGATAATGTTATTTCAATTGAATCGCTTTCCTTTGTAATCCTTTGTATTTTCTGCATTTAGGAACATTGTTCTGAGAAGGGGTTCGTAGACTTCCCCACACTGACAAAGGGGTCCACAGTGTGTACACACCCAGAAAAGTCTAGAAACCTCTTGATTCCATTCTGCCCCTTTTGGATAAAGAAGGCGAGACCCAGTGAGTGCAGGTGACTTGGCCGAGGTCATCCAGCTAAACTGAGGAAGGGACGTGAACCCAGGTTCTCTGCCTGGCCCTTGGATGGTCTGTATGCTTCTGAGAACTTTGAAGCCAGAAGCTTCCTGCTTGGGGTTAGAGTTTGATCTCCATTCAGTTCAGTCCATCATAAAATCTCTGCCTTCAGGAGGCTTTCGTCCAGTTGAGAAAATATGGGGTCATGTTACTAAGATACCACATAGCTCATGACTGCATAGATGGGCACAGACTTTGCTATTTGAGGCCTAAAGAAGGAGGCACACTCCATTATGACAATAATAGCAGCTAGTGTTTATATAGCATTTTCCAAATATCTCATTTGATCCTCACAATGGGAGATAGTGGCTATTATCCCCATTTTGCAGATGGGGAAACTGAGGCAGGCTTGCCCAGGGCACACGGCTAGTAAGTGTCTGGAGGCAAGATTTGAACTTGGGTCTTCCTGACTCTAGGCTTAGTACTCTATTGCACATGCCACAGACACACTTGAAGGATCCAGGATTTCATCTAAACCAGTAGCTCCCCCTGCTGACACAGATGCTCCCCTGCTCTCCATTTCTTTTCCCCCTTCCCCAGGTACCTTGGGCATTGCAGCAGTTATTTTTCACGTGTTATTGTGGCCAACCTTTCAGTGGTGTGGGTGTGCTGTTCTGCATCTCAAGGACGAGCCTTGGGTGGACAGCAGGCACGTTTGGTTGTCAGCCCATGCTCAAAACCTTTTCAGGTTGTTGGCAAATTCCAGGACCTCTACTCCGGCCATAGCCTTGGATGACAGGCTCACCCTGTACCATTTGATTGAAGAGGACCCTCAGGACAGGCTCAACAAGCCAGTGCTTAAAACATTTACTGCCTTAATCTTATTAACATGTCGAGGCTTCACATTAGGTGGCCAGCTATTTACAAGCTAGTCTGAAATGATTTTTTTTTAAACTTAGAAGGACATGATCCTTTCTGAGATGAAGGGGATGGGGGGGTAAACAGAGGGGGTGAGGCATGAGGGTAGTGGAAGATGGCCTGACCCGTGGAGTTGGGAGGCTTGGATTCTAACCACAGATCTGTCACCAGCTGGCTCTGAACAGAATTGAAGCAAGTCACTGCTCTGGGCCACGTGGGCCTCGGCTGCCTTTGCTGTAAAAGAAAGTAGTTGGGCTAGATCTCAGAGGTCCCTGAAAGCTGATGGCCAGTTCAGTGCCTGTCCTCTGCAGAATCTGAGATGCTAGGAGGAGGGCAGGGTAAAAGGCAGGAGCTTGCAGCCTAGTAGGAAAGAAGAAATAATAGCTAGTGTCTAGCTAGGGCCCACTTTGTGCCAGGCCTTGTGCTGAGCTCTTTATAAACATCTCATTTGATCCTAACAGTTACAGCACTGGGAGGCAGGTCGCAGTTACAGATGAGGAAACTGAGGCTAACAGTGGTTAAGAAATTTACCCAACGCAGCAATTAAGTGGGGCTGGATCTGAACTCTCGTCTTCCTGACTCCAGGCCCAGCGCTCTTTGCACTATGGCGCCACCTAGCCAACAGAATATAGAAGTGGACACGTAAATGGTGATGCAAGCTAAAGATTAAAATGTGACATCATAGGGTAAGCACCTTAAAGTTTACAAAGCACTTTACAAATACCTAATTTGATTTTCAAAATGAGGAAACTGAGGCAGATAGAGGATAATTGATTTTCCTAGGATCACACAGCTAGTAAGCCTAAGAGGCAGAATTCAAACTCAGGTTATCCTGACTGCCAAGTGTGGTGTGTTCTCCCTGCATCACCTGACCATCTCTGAGTTTGAAGGAGAAAGTACTTAAGAAGTGGAAATACAAGATGCTCTGGAGCAGATGAAGAAAGCTTCCCTAGAGCTGGGAAGGTGAGCGATCTCGGGGGGCAGGTGCTTGGATAGGGGCTAGTGAAGACAAAATGTATCACCTTTGGGGCACATTGCCCTCTGCACTTTCAGCACCATGAAAGTGAGCTTAAAAGTGGGCTTTACTGTTAAGACCCTTGATGATCATCCATTATGTTATTCAGTAAAGCCCCTCCCCCCATTCATTGTTTTTTGTCAACAGGCAGGGATTTGTCTCCTTGATCTATGGTTGGGGAAACAAACCCCAAGAGGTATTCTCAGCTAAGGTCCTGCGGTCCTGGGAATGGCAGCAATCGTGTTGATCCCGCACCTTGCACTCAGAAGTCTGACAGTTTTACCGTGGACATCATGGTGGTGGTGATATATGGTTCCTGGTATTGGTGGGGCAGGAGGCACAGCATGCAGGATCAGTCATTCCAAAAACCAAACATAGTAAAAGTCTTCCCATTCATTGACCAGCTTCTCTTCATCACAACTCCAGTTGTATTGTGTGGTCATTTACTTTGGCTTATTAATTGAATTTCTGCTAAATAAAAACACATTAGTTGATCAACAGTGACCCCACTTGGGGTTTTCTTGGCAGAGATACTGGAGTGGTTTGCCATTTCCTTCTCCGAATCATTTTATAGGTGGGGAAACTGAGGCAAACAGGGTTAAAGTGATTTGCCCAGCTAGTAAGTATCTGAGGCCACATTTGAACTTGGGTTCTCCCGACTCTGGGGCTGGTGCTCTATCCGTGGTGCTACCTAGCTGCTTCTAAATTCTATCCAAGCAGTACTTTTGAGTCCTGAGACCTGCCAACATAATTCAGGCCGATTTCTCTGTAACATGCCTACAAATGAGACTTAATTTTAAATGTGGGCTGGGACCAAGCGAGCAAGTACCTTACTTAAAGCAATTGCAAAGAAACCGAAGATGTCTTGTCTTTTTAAATTTTTTTTTTCAGTTTTCTAAAATTAAAGTTATTTTCTATTGAAGCGTTTATCTTTCCTCCCTCTCACCTCTCTCTGCCTCCCACCACACACATAGAAAAGAGAAAAACAACACCCCAGAAGCCAATTCTTAAAGCCCGTAGAATGGCAGCGTGATTATCTCTGAGGGAAATAATTCCCAAGCCATGTCAGACACTTGAATGTACCTATGGATCTCCCTGACATCAGTGTTTCTTTGCCACTCATCCATACCTGCCTGTTCTATGGGATTCTTGTCTCTGCACTTCAGTCCACAAAACATTCCATGGTCTGCCTCGGTTTCTCTTGATAGCACAAGGATCAGTGCTTACATGCATGGTATAGATTGTAAATGGTTTACTCTGAACACAGTAGAGAGGTTCAGGAATGGAGGAGTCCAGGACCAACTGGAAAGAACACTGGCCTGAGAATTGGACCTCGATTTCCTTATCTGTTATCCTTATCTGAGGGCATTGGAATAGATTGCTTAGGTCTATTAAACATTCTCTTGACTAATCCAGCTTTTGAGCTGGGAGTGGAAGCGTAGAATTTATGGGTCAGAAGGACCCTAGTGCCCACTAGGGTAGTGCAGTGGATAGAATGCTAGACCTGCAGTTAGATGAGCTTAAATTTTGGTGGGTGGCCTGCAAGTCACTTAACCTCTGCCTCAGTTTCCTCGTATGTGTATAGAGAGGCTCCATGTATATTGAAGCCCATGTATGTGGCAAGACTTGTCCCCTGCCCCCTTGTGGTATGGGGGTTTCGTCATACGGCTTAAAGCAGAATAGACAACTTTAGTCTTGTCACTCCTTCCCCTCATCTTTCAAACGATGAAATCCTGCTAGGATGGGAAGCAGAAGGTTGAGGCCAGAGGATGCTCTGCTTTCTTCAGAGAGAGGGTGGTTACCAAGGTAAAGTATTCATCTGGGGATATGATCAAATTCAATCTAGCTTCTGATTACTGCTGTTACTTGGGGGAAGGAGGACCCCAAGATCGATATCCAAAGCTTGACCCCTTTCTCATCAAATACAGTTCTACAATGAATAATACACAGTGAATAGCTAAGAAACCACTTTATCCAAATAAGCAGCAAAACTAATCAGAGATGGCATACATATGAGAGCATATATGTGCACCGGATAATGCAAAGTGAAGGAGTTCTCCCACTGGGAGCGAGATAACTCGGCCAAACCAGGAGAGAGATTCCTAGATCTCACTCGGGGGAAGCTACCCGCAGTCTCTAGTGAAATAACTAGAGGATGGGGACATGATGGAGGCTTCCCTCTCCTCTCAGTCTTTTCCTTCAGCAGTGTAGAGTGGGCTTGTCCTTGTCCATTTTCCCTCTGGAAACTGGGACCCAGAAGTACCCAAAGTGACTTGGAGTCTCCAAGAAAACTGAAGAGAGCTGGACGTCTTCTGGTCTCACCAACTCTACCCCATCCGTCGCAAAGGGTAGGGTGTTCATCACCCTCAATGAGGAGAGAGTCCCATACCAATGGGATTTGGGACAGGGGTT